CCATCACCTCCCACCCCCAGCCACATCTTAAACCCCTTCCCACCTGTGAGCCCCAGCCCAGTCCTGCCCATCCCAGGGCTCTGCCAGCCCCATGCCGGCAAAGTGTCTGCTCCCAGAAAGTGCCTTCCAGCACTGGGGCACTAACCATCCCAGGACTGGTGCCCCCCAGGGTCTCCACAGACACCCCTTGCTCTTCCTGTCCTCTCAGGCCCCATCCGGGGGGAGCAGTGCCTGTCCTGCTCTGCATGGGGACAGTGACTGATGCCACACTTGGAAGGAGGCAGCCTGTGCATGGCTGTGTCTGGGCAGAAGAGGAAGGAGGGATGGCACCGGTCCCCAGGCTCGTGAGGATCCCTGTGTCAGCCAGCTCCTCCAACTCCACAGGAAAGCAGGATGGTGGGGGCTTTACAATTCCCAAAACCAGTGAAAAGGCAAAGCCCCCACCATGCCTTGGAGCCCAGATGGATGCACAGTGGTTCTGGGGGCTCTCAGACCCCCATTACTGGGGGTCTCGGACTCCTATCCCCAGGGCAAAACCCTGAGGCCCAACAGAAATTTGGGGAAAAAAGCTGAGGTGGGATCAGGGGATTTCCATGGTGGTGGGGCTGGCTTTGTCTCAAGACAGAGCTCTCACATCAGCTCCTGCAGCACCAGCACCCTTCACCCCTGCCCATGGTCTCTCTGGCATGGCCATGGTGACACTGCAGGCTTCTGGAAAGTGGGATAAACAAGTGTGAAAAATACAACATGTAGAAAACGTTTCCTGCAGCAGCTGAGGATCTCGGTCTACCCCAACCATCCTTTGTCCCAGACTTCTCCCTCTCTGCTGGCACTGGTCACGGTGCTGCTCTGACTGTTGGCACGTTAGAAGCTGGTGGGTCGGATCATCATGCGGGTACCCTTCAGGGAGTAGCTGGGCCCCTGGAAGTGGTGCCAGCGGATGCCGTTGAGCTTGCGGATGTTGTTCCGGGCTGGGTAGTAGATGCCGTTCAGGTTGGAGAGGCCACAGGCATCGAACCACCATCCTGTGGAGGGAGAAGGGCAGGAGGGTGGCACCATGGGTGGGCACCCGTGGGTGCTGCATGGGGGTCCCCCTGCTCCACTCACCTCCTGACAGCATCTGGGCACACTTGCAGAGGCAGTTGTCATTGTCGGCGTCGCGGGTGCTGAAGCGAGTGCCCTGCAGTGCCATGCCGCTCTGCTGCCCAGCTGTGCCACTGTAATCCTGCAGTGA